GGAAGGTGGAGTTTGCAGCCGCTCGCAGCCTCTCTAAAATAAGAGTCCAAGTGAGAAGGTGCCTCATGTTGGGGTGAAACATTGAGCAACTTCCAGCAGGGATCTAAAGGCTCAGTAAGCGAGGAAAGGAAATATTGTTTTATTTGCAATATTTACTCCAGTGTTATTCAGCTTATTGCGCTCACTAAACCTGTTGTGTGTTTCAGCCTAGGCTCGTTCTTAATATACTGCTCCTGAGCTGCAAAGAGAAGTCCCGATGCCAAAAGCCAACAGGGCAGTGCTGAAATGTGTTGGAATTGCAAGGACCAGCTGCTGCTATCTCCCGTGTGGGACAGCGTGCACCTAGGGATTAGAGTCTGCTGCTTTTTCCTTATATTCCCTCTTTCGTCAGGCTACAGGTGCAGTCAGGAATCGCTTTAGAGGCGCTTGGTAGCAGACGTGGACAGGGTGGTTTGTTAAAAGCTTTTCCCCAGAGTAGCAGGGAGTGCTTGTGCGATGTTGTGTGCATGGACAGAACAAGCATAGAATCATAGAATGCTGAAGGTTGGAAGGGACCTCTAGAGATCATCTAGTCCAACCCCCTGCACACACAGGGTCACCTAGAGCACGTGGCACAGGGCTGCGTCCAAGCTTTCCTCTAGTTCTGTCGGTGGCCACCAGTGAAAAGAGGCCGGCCCCATCCTCCTCACTGCCTCCCTTGAGGTACTTCTAGACACTGCTCAGGTCCCCTCTCAGCCTTCTCTTCTCCAGCTGAACAGGCCCAGCTCCCTCAGCCTCTCCTCATAGGGCAGATGTTCCAGGCCCCTGATGTTGCTTAGCAAGTTACTGACACCTGGATTTGGTTATGTAGGATTGTTTAAGAAATCTCTGAATGTATCTTTCATTAGTGGAATCGGGTATTAGATAATGCTCAGGTATTAAATTATACCGGTATACGCAGACACTTTATCAGGAGAAAAATAGTTTAATGCATACCCAGATTATATATACACTAAAAAATATATTTATTTTTACCATTAGATTAAGCAGGAAGAATTTAATCCTGTTATTCTGTGAAACTGCATGTGGAGCCATCTCTGAGCAATGCGGGTATCCTAGAAGCATCAAGAGCAAAAGAATATGTAAATCATTCATTAAATCAATTAAGGTTTGAACTCTAACGGGTAACATTCCCAGGCCGAATGTGATGCTGCCTCTGCGATGCTGGGCATGGACCTCAGAGCTCAGGAGGCCTCAGGTTTTGTCCATTGGGCTTATTAGCAATATATCTATGGGAGCACTGACATATCAAAAGGGCTGCTTTTTTATCCCCAGTTACTGTAAATGTATGTTTGTGCCCTCATCTTCTGGATTCCAGGCTTAAGGACACTGGAATTTGTGTGCATGTTGTTAAATACATATGCAGGAGCTTTAGAAAACTTAGTTTTCTAAATTTACTAATTTACTAATTCCCTTGCGCCCGCCTATGGGATAGGTGTCAGACGAATGGCAGCAGCATATTTGCTGTGAAGCACAAATAATTTGTAAAACTTGACCTTTTCTATTGGCTCTTCTGGAAAAAGCAGCTGAACCAGAAATCTGGAGAGCGCTTTGATTGTGCTTGCTTAAAATAGGAGGCTGAAAGTCACGCTGGCTCTTCCCGTGCAGATTTTTCTACGCAAACCTCTCATGAATCAGCAGCAGGCGGGACTTTTACACTGAAATATTAACGTGAATCAGACCCTGGGGTTAGGAGGAGTGACCAGGGCTGCACAAACAGTTTAAACTCTGCGGCGTTCCCGGGACTTGGCGCTTCCCCCCGGTGCAGCAGGATTTCGGGATACGGGTGTTGGTAGCGCTGGGAACATATGAGCCGCCAGTGAGTACGGAGCCGCGTGTCGGCGTGGGTGCTCGGCAGAGGGGTGGCTCCAGATTTACCGTGGGAAACGTGGGCATTTTCTTTCTATTCAGCAATTCTGGTTGCTGCAGGTGCTTGCGATTGGGTTTTTGAGGCTGTTTGGGAATACTGTCGGTCTGAGGCTCTTTTGTATAGCTTAGAATGGAACCACTCACTTTCCATCGCCTAGACATAGGGAGCGGTGTGCATTGGAAACCAAGTGAGAGATAATTACCAAAGAAGGAAAGCTGAGAAATAGCATTCTCAAATCTAAAGGTGTTTATACATTGGTGAAATATTTTTTTTCCTACTAGCTTTTAGGTCACCTGCCCTAAAGCTGTATTTATTTAGCTTAGTGTTATGTACATTAGAAGGGAAACATTCATTTTCCTGTCTGTAGAAGTAGATAAAAGGGCTTGTTTACATTAGCAATTCACCATTTACTATTTGTCTTCTTCCTTGCCATGGTCAGATCCATATGTCCCAGTCTCCTGGCTAGAAAGGAGGTGTATATTCTGACCTGGCATGGCTAGCTCCATTTACACTGCATGGTGAAGCTGCCTTTACTATCTAATAGTGCATAGAGCCTTCGCAGGTTGCTTGGCCATCCTCTCCATCAGTGCTACGAGCCTTCCAGAGGGGGAAATAGCCCCAGCAAAGCATTAACCTGTTGCCTCCTTCAGTAATTTTGCTGCCTGGAGACGGCTGTTTGTTGGACACAGCTGATGTTGTTAATCTATTAACAACATCCTTAATCTATTCCAGTTCTCGCCAATCTGTCACGCTGTAACTTCCAACTTTGGAAAATGTCTGCTTAAAATCAATACATCTCCACTGGCTTTGTGCCTGTGTGAATCCTGCCGACTGTAGGTTGGCAAGAGGAATCCTGTTGGAAACAAGACACCGTTTGCAACGGTGGTAACTTTCTGCCTGTAAACCAGGCGCTGTCCCTTCAATCTGGCAAACCATGTTCCCACAATCAAGGTGTAGATGTGCAGCATTGAACCGTGCAGACCCTCCTGCGGAGCAGCTCCGAGTTACGCTCCTGGAAACAGGGGATTTTTGTGAAGACTCGAGTCCACGGCTGAGCCTGGAGCTTTGCTAACAGTGAAGCCCTATGCACAGAATAGGAGCAGACAATCGAGCGCTTCAGCAGCCTCCCTGCATTCTCCTGCCAGGGTTTTTAAGCTGTCCTCAATTGCATCAGTCCTGCTGGCCCTCATTTTCCGTCTATAATTTGGAGCCAGCTGGAAAATGAATCCACTGTATATTGATAGAGCCATTTCATAACAAGGGAAACCCATTTTGTGTCTGTGCTAGTTCAGCCTCTAAATTGCCCATTTTTCTTTTTGTTCTGGTCATATTTGTGTCTGTAGCAGCAAATGAAACCAGAGCATCATTAGCAGGGATGACAAAAGCGTGTTAAAGGCCCCAGGTAGTTTTTCTTTCAGTTGCAGGTTGGATAAATGCATTTCTTTGTTGCATTTTCAGGACGGGCACATCTAGAGGTGTCACTGAGCGCGAACATGAGACCCAGTGCTCATATTGCACTTACCATAAAGCTGAGGTTTTCCCCACTCCGTACCCCCTTCCCTGTGCAACTTGCTAACAAATTTAGCCTCTGTCGCAGGGCAGGGTCACAGGCTATAAGAGGTGGTGGCACGGGCCACTGGTCTCCTAATTTGAGGATCCATTCCTCAAATCCGTGCTCGAAGGTGCTCAGGGCAGGCTTGTGACCCCGGTGTCTCCTCTCATGTGACATTTGCCACATGCCACCTCACCTTCTGCAAGAGCAGCAAACTGATCTCTCCAAAAACGTCTTGTGCTTAAGGGAAGCAGTGAGTGAAGAACCAGATTTGTACTTGATAACTGGAAAAAATCTTCTTAAAAAGTAGCTAATGAATGAGACCACCTGATGCTTAAAATGTTTAAAAACTGTAGAACTTGCCTAGGGGCTGCTGGGAAAAGAATTTAAAAGCAGGAGCCAAAAACCTGTGTGTCAGAGCATGAAAGAAAATTCCTGCTTGTGTTTCGTGGTGTTTGGTGGCAAACCCTTATGTTAGGGGTCCAGAGGCAGAAAAACACTGCAGACTTGGAGCCACGTATTGGCAGGCCAAATTGCAAAGACAGGGTGACAGTGCAGGCACGTGAGAGAAGGCGTTCACAGAACAGGGCTTTGCTCTTGAAAGAGAAAATACCGGCGCTTCTTTCCAAAGCTTCACTTAAATGGGGTGTTGGCAAGCAAAGATGATTCGGCTGGAAAACGGCCGTGGTCCCCAATGCAGATGTTTCAATAACATTAGCTTCAGACCTGTCCCAATTTGGGTTTTCCGTATATTTTTGAGAGACCCTTAGCTTTTCCTCTGTTTAACTTCACTTACCGTAGGCGGAAAATCAATGTATTTTCTGCGCGTGCCATTGCCGTGGGAGAAAAACCTCTTTCCTGAAGCCGCTGCAATGCTCAGAGCACGGGTCCGTCTGCTTGCTCGTGAGTGGAAAAACATTGCTAGAAGCCGGGGCCAAAATTCCCTGGCTTCTAGCCAGGGAGCCCAGGTCTGAGCCTGATGTTGGTGCAAATCCCAGCCTGCTGTTTTGGGCAAATTCCCCTCATATTTGCAGGAGACCCCCCAAGCAGAAGGTTTGTATTTGTGGCCTCCATTCCTAACGGGAGGAGCAGCTCTCTGCTGCTGCTCCCCTGCCCTCGGACCTGAGGAAACTCTCGGCGTCTTCCAAGGATACGTTTGGAGACGTGAAACCCCGGCTAAACTCTTGTTTTGGAAAGCAATTCTATTAGAAATACATCTTGTCCTGAGCTAGTGCTGACTGTAGAATTAGGTCAGGCACACCCTGCACCCGGCCGCGTGTTTCCTGCTTGCTCACATTTCTGAGAATACTTGTACGTGCTAATGTTTTTGTCGACGTAAAGGAGGGTTGCCACCTTAAAAATAAGTTGTTTGGAGTTTTATATTAAGTCATCGTGGTTACGCTGCGGCTTAGTAAGAGTGGGAGGTTCCGAAGCGCCTGATTCATCGCTCCGCGCGCCCGCGGTGCTTTGCCATTCACAAATCGAGCGCTCCAGTCGCTCGTTTCTGCTATTTTGACTCTTTCTGCCTTCCTCCTCGTCATGCCGGGTGACAGGGAGGCAGCGCCCGGGCTGTCGGATGTGACGGGGACGGGCTCCGTGCTGAACACGACGTGACTGCTCCACTTTCCGGGGTTTCCTTGGCACTTTCCTACGAAGTTGTACAAACCTGGGTGCTGATGCTGTTTTGCAACAGCTCTCTCAATCACAAGGGTTAGGGATAAGGAGCAAGCAGTCAAATAGTTAGGAGCCAACAAGTCTGCCCTTTTTTTAACTATTTAAACTGCCCTTCATCTAGATGTTTTCTCTCTGCTCCAAGTGTTATTCTAAGTATATTTAAGTTTCTTTTCCCTGCACCCATCACCTGCATGCTATTTATGGCGGGTGAGGCCATTTGTCTCCTCAGGATGCTCCTGTGGTTTCTGGGGTGGGGAAGGATCATCCCAGCCCTTCTGCGTTCCAGCACCCTTCCTTCTTCCATAAGAAATGGGTAGCACAAGGGTCAGGCTGTTCACGTTCACGGTTCCTCATATCGGTGGCAGCAGCTTAGACCCCGCAGGAGGCAGCGACCGGCTCGTGTGCGTCCTGCTGCCCACAAGGACATCGTGGTGACAGCAGAACGTGCTGTGACCGCGCGGGAGTGACACCCCCTGCTCCCCAAATTACAGCCCTCCTCCTGCATCCTCTTTGCAGCATCAAAGCCCTGACCGCAGCGCTGCCGGGAGCAGCGAGCGCCTCATACGTGTAAAAAGCTTTGGACACGAATAGTGCTAATTATTATTTATAGGGATTCGTTCTCGCCGTGGCCGCCTTGATCCCGGCCGTGAAAGCAGAGCAGGACGAAAGCTGCTCTGGTTGGAGCGCAGCCCTCTGCAGTCTGACAAACTGGTTCCCTGCCGGGTTGTGCGTGGAGTTGCAGTGAATTTGTCACGTTAAATGGGGTTGCAGTGGGGTTGCAGTCAATTTGTCACGTTAAATGGCTCCTTTCAGAATTTATGGTACCATCCAGCTGTGGGTAAAGTGCGCCGACTTGTTTGCCCCTGTTTGGCAAATGCAAAAAACATCTCGGGGGTTTGGATGTGCCAAGAGGGAGGAAAAGGCTGAACATTTGGCTTCCCAGAAAATAAGGGAGGGAGAATCCCCCCAGTGCCTCCAAGAACTGCCGCGGTTGCAAGGAGCAGGTTTCTGCATCTTGCCCCATCCCTGAGGGTTTGGGCCCCTTGCACCCATGATCTTAGTGTAAGAAGAAAAAAAAAATGCATCTAGCAAATTAAGCAGAAAAAGGAAGAGATGGTCGGGGAAATAAAATACCGTAGTGCAGCTGTAGCCGATGAATTACTCAGACTTATTGGCAGGCCAGCCGTGATGGAGCGCCCTTGAAACGGAGACGCCGAGGAAATAAACTTTATCCTTGTATTTCCTTATCAAACTGGCTCCATGGAGCCCTTCTGAGCTCACAGAGCGAAGTCGGTGCCCAAGCTGGGTGTTTGCTGCTCGTCCTTGGCAGGGAGCTTGTTTCCAGGTAGAAAAGTTGAACTTTTTTGCATTCTGTGCGCTGCCAAATTTTGGAACTTTGGGATTTTAAAAGTACAGCGTAATTGCAGTGTAAGCAATAATCTGTTTTAAACCATGGCATCGGTTGTATGAACAGTTTGACACAGGCTGGAAAACTGCAGTTTGATTGCAGTGCTTAGGATAGGCTCCAGGGTAAGGGATTTACCAAGGATCTAGGATTTTCATGCTCGGTTTGAAATTCTCAATTTTGAAATTGGTTGAAAAAAAGGATTTTATTTTGAATAAAATAAAATCGGCCCATCAGAATAAAAGCGACTTATCAGCCAGAGCCTTTAAAAATTAATAGAAAAGAGTATGGGGGCTTTTCAGGTAGTTTTGCTGCAGCCAAAAATGCTCCTTCTCGGGACTATTGCAGGAAACGTAAGCAACAGATTTTCTAAAAATCCATCCAAGCAATAACGCTGGTGACCTGGCATTTATTTAGGGAAGATGAAGGGGTTGTTATCCCCTTTGTTGCTCTCTAATTAGGAGCAAAATGCTTGTGCTGATTTGCAGTAATGATGGAGCCCGAGCTGAACTGCTCATTAAGGTCAGGAGCGGAGAATTCACTTCCTCTGTGTTTTAGTTGCTTCCTTAATGCCGTGTTTTATCCGACTTTTTAGCCTCTTGTGAGGGGAAAGGGGTAGAAGAGCTGCTAGAAGATGCCAAAGAGTTGAGTGAGGTGAGAAGAGCAAAAGGGAAGAGCCTTAAGATAGGAATAAGGAGGATGAATTCAGCTTGGTGTGAAGGGGCCAATACGCTGCAGGTGTCTCCAGCTGCATCCCCAGAGAAGCTTTAAGAGTTGGAGAGAGTTGGTCAAAGCATCGTGTGTGTCTGTGGGGCTGCACCAGGGTGGGCTGGACGTGGGGCGGCTGCAGGAGCTGAGTGTGATGTGACACCAACATTTATTGTAGGACTGTCCGGGTGAAATCTTGGCCTTGGTGGCTATGTGACACCAAGGGGATAAATAAAAAAAATAATAATAAAAAAAAGGAAGTCAAATTACTGGAAGCAGAGCACCTCCTGGTCCAAAATCCAAAATCCTGGTCCTGAAGAGCTGGTAACTGGGCAAACATGAACATTCAGGCTGAGGCAAGGTCGTTTTGCCAATGCTGGGAATCAAGAGTCTCGTGAACATTTTTAAAGGGCTCTAGTGACCTGGATGTTGGACAGTTGCCAGGAAGATATTTGAAGGAATACACATGTGAGCTAAAGACTTATTTTAAAGAAAAACCAGAGGCTTATAAGTAAAATAGACCCTTTGTTGCCTTAAAAACTTTTTTTTTGTCTTTTGTCTTTGACGAGGTTAGTGTAGGGGTGTCATAAACCCCTCTCAAGGGCAATTAAGTGACTGAATAAAATACTCCTGACTCTCCTACTACTGGCTTGCAGGAGGGGATACACGGATTTGGGCTGTGTGGGCTGGGAATCTCTGCCAACACTAACGCGCTGGTGCTCTCTCCCCCAGCTTTTCCCTTAGGAAGCGCAGCCACCACCTCGCGACGCGGAGGCCCAGCATGAGCGTGAACTGCCCCGCTGGGCCCGGCTGGTCGAGGGCCCGCGACGCCGCCTGCTCCGTGCGGAACACGCCTGGAGCGGCCCAGGAGGCGGGAGAAAACACCGTGGCGCTCGGAGGTCACAGCCCCTCTGCGGCTCCGAGGTCTGAGGGTGAGGAAAATGTGTGTTTACTTCATCGCAGTCTTTAAGGCAGAGTTTTTCTGCCAGATTTCCGCAAAAATTGGTGTCCCAAGACAACTCGCACTGGGAAAAGGCACACTTGCAGTGGGGAATGCAGGATATATATGTCCTACTTTGCCAGGTTGGTGGAAACTATGAAGGCCTCTCCATCGTGCTTACCAAGAGGTATTAAGGTGGGGAAGATTTTTATCCAAAATTCCATTGCTGCCTCAAGCCGAAAATTACCCTAAATGTTGAGCATTTCCCCATCCTCTGTCGACGTGGGACTGGGTTTTGTCATTGCACTAGAAGGTTTTAGTGTTAAATGACATTTTGTCACCACACACTCTGTTTCCCTTAGGTTTGGATCCCGAATGCCGACATACTGCCTTCCTGGTGAGTCCCCAGATCGGGAGCATGTTGTCCACTCCTGAAGACGCACACAGCTGTCACTTCCAGGACGGGAACAAAAGACAGCCGGAATATTTTAATACCCAGGAACGCCACGGAGGCAGCACTTTGCCTGCAGGCATCAGTTCACCAGCACAGGCTCCGGAGAAAGTGACTCTTGTGGTAGATGGCACTCGATTTGCAGTGAACCCACAAATTTTCACTGCTCACCCTGACACCATGCTGGGGAGGTGAGTGATTTCTGCCATTTCCAGGACACTCAGGACTGTTGAATGTTTATTCAAATGGATTAAGAGCAGATTGTTCGTATTGGGATCCTGTCCATGTTCATAAACTAAGCACAGCTGGGCTTGTTCTGAACTAGGCTGCAAGGCCTTGAAGATCAGATTGGGTATAGTGAGAAATCAGTAGATTTCTAGGCAACATTCTCCCTTTGGTCCCAGGATTTCAACCAATGTGCACTTTCAGCTAAATGTGGACTACTTTTGCCTTCTGTCCAAGTGTTTGCCGTGTTGGGGAGCAGCACATCTGTTTGCAGCTGATAACTTCCCTTCTAGAATGGGGCAAATGATAGTGCTGCACTCCCCTCCTCCTGTTAGCTGTGGATATTATCCCAAGACTGGATATTATCCATGGACTGGACTTCGGAGCCCGTTGATGCCAACAGGAAGCATTAATTTTCCATGTTGCCATCAGCAGCACCCTGTCTCTGGCCAAGGCAGCCGTGTTCTGCTGGGCTGCTGACCTGTGCCCAGTAAGAGTGTAAAGCAAGTGATAAAAGGCATGTGATGCCTCCGGGGAAGCACTTTTCTTGCCAGGGCGTTTTCTGAACCTGCTCTGCTCCTCTGAGCTGAATGAAGCAGCTTTAGCAACAGTCTTGGAGTCCAACTGCTGTAGTTGAGACAGCTTTTGTGCTTGCTTATTACCCAAGAGATTGGAGTGTTGGCTTCAGGTTACTACCTGTGGCATCGTGGGGTTTGTTCAGCCTCCATGCAGCTATTTCTAATGTGGGTATCTTCATGTTTACCTGTGCATTTATATGGACTTTTATCTGTTCAGAATGTTTGGACCAGGAAGGGAATATAATTTCACCCGACCAAATGAGAAGGGAGAATATGAAATCGCAGAAGGAATTAGCTCAGCTGTCTTCCGGACCGTGCTGGTAAGATGATGTTTGCAGATGGGGAAAAAAGACCTCTTGTCCCATGTGCAGAGCTGACTTGTCTCCCAGGCAGCTGTGTACCCCCTGGGACATGCTCTTTTGTTACCGTTCCATGTTTAGCTCAACATTTTTAGTAGATTTCAGTATGAATCAGCATTTTGCATATTTGCTCATGCTGCCTTTACTTTTCATGTATCGTGTAGTTCCTGAGCTCTGTCCTGCCCTCATGGTTACATATAAATGCACATAGGATGTTATGAAAGCCCACGTCATGGGAGAAGTTTTAACTGGATGTTTTATCAGAGCCAAGAAAATCTGCCAAGGGGCCCATTCTTGGACAAACAGGGCTATTTCTGCTGTTCATAGAGCTCTTTATTTCCGTCATAACTAACAAATATTGGTTAACGGAACAAAAAGCTAATTGAAAATGACTGATGTCCAAGCTTTCCTGAATATTATTTCCAAAACTTGTCCTTTCTATTTGCAGGATTATTACAAAACGGGGATCATTAATTGCCCTGATGGGATTTCAATCCCAGACCTCCGAGACACGTGCGATTACCTCTGCATCAACTTTGACTTCAACACAATCAAATGTCAAGATCTAAGTAAGTACAGAGAGAAACCACCTCTGGTGAGAAGGTCTGGATGGTGCCGAGTGCTCTGATTCTGATTCAGGGCAGTTTTTAATGTGACAAAGTGAAGAACTGAAGGGTTGCCCTGTGATTTCTGTCTCCCTAGGTGCTCTGCTCCACGAGCTGTCCAACGACGGTGCCCACAAGCAGTTCGACAGCTACCTGGAGGAGCTGATCCTGCCCATCATGGTGGATAGCGCCAGGAAAGGGGAGCGCGAGTGCCACATCGTGGTGCTGACGGACGAGGACACTGTGGACTGGGATGAGGATCATCCACCTCCCATGGGAGAGGAGTACTCTGCCTGTGCCCCAGGGCAGCAGCTCCTGCCTCCGTGCACGTTCCCATAGAGGGGCATTAGGGAAGGACAAGGAGCAGGAAAGCTTTTTCCAAGTCTCCTTCTGTCCAGACTATAACAGGTATCGGTGCCTTCTTGCCAAGGAACCTGAGCTAATCAGTGCTGAGAGGGGATCCTTGAAGCAGTTCTGGGAAAAGAGAGCTCTTTTGGCACTCCCACAGCTGTGCATGTCAGAAATGGGCAGAAGGTCCCTCCTAATAGTTTCTAATGAGCCCTTTTATTTCTCAAGTCCTTTACAGTTCCAAGCTGTACAGATTCTTCAAGTACATTGAGAATCGCGATGTTGCAAAGGCCGTATTAAAGGAACGAGGTCTGAAAAACATTCGCATCGGCATTGAAGGTAAGAGCATTTCCTCAGCCAAGGAAAATCTGAAATGAGTCACTCCATAGTTGATAAATCCTTCTTTTCTGTGACTTTGTGTGCAGGGAGGCCTCCAGTGTGGGTTCTTTGATCTCTAGTAAAGGTTGATCCTCTGCTGGATGTCTCTGTCAGCCTCCTGTCTTTATGACCAAGGAAATAGAAAAAGGGAATCTGCTTCCCGCATTCCCGCTGCTCCAAGCATTTCCTCAGGGAGCGTGGAGAACCTTGTGCTCTGTCCTGGGGAAGATGATCTCATTTTTATAGCCATTGTTTGCGCACATAACAGCCAACAGTTTGCAGTCATTGATAATAATGGCCACACATGACGGCTATATCCTCATCCTGAAGGAAAAAAAAACAGTTTTTCCCAAGCCAGCAGTGGTAATTAAGAAACAGGAGCATTTGTCAACCAAATTCCCCTGTCTCTTTCTCTGCGACTCCTGTCTGGACAGGTTTCTGAGAGTGTTATCTGTGTGCAAGCTGGAAGAGCACAGTGTAACTGCCTGCCTGTCTGTGTTCCCAGGATATCCCACCTGCAAGGAGAAGGTGAAGAGGAGGCCGGGGGGGCGCTCGGAGGTGATCTACAACTACGTGCAGCGGCCCTTCATCCAGATGTCGTGGGAAAAGGAAGAGGGCAAGAGCCGCCACGTCGACTTCCAGTGCGTGAGGAGCAAGTCCCTGACAAACCTAGTCACGGTGGGCGATGACGTTTCCGAGGAGCACGAGATGCTCATGCATCACCCGCCCCAGGTGGATGAACTGGACAGGCTCAACGCCCCCTTCTCCCAGATGGCCGTTAACGACCTGCCCGATTAGGGACGGCTCAGGCAGACCGGGCTGCTTGACCCGGAGACATCTCGGTGGTTTCGTCCCCGGTGATGGAACACGAACTCCGCAAGGTGCTTTATCCTTGTCCGTGCTCTTACTTCGTTGTCTTATTTCAAGCATGTTAATAAAGAGCCACACTCCCTAGTCTAACTGTGCAATGAAAAGCAACGTCGTCTCAAACAGGAAGAAATGCTGCTGTTTGCTTCCGCTGCGAAAGCTTCCAGATTGGTGGTGCTGAGTCTCTTAAGCTTCTAAAAGAAGAGCAGAGATACTTGGAAGCTCCTTGTTTTTGACAGGAGAGAGGAAATTCCAGGCCTCTCGAGACAAAGCTTTCTTTTACCAGTAGGCACTTAGGTTTGCTTTTGTGATAATCAGTTACAAAGGAGCAAGCGTCAAAGCAAGACAGATTTCACCCTTTCATCAACCAGCAGAAATGTAGCACTGTTGTGACAGCAAAATATCGGGGCTGAGGGAGTCTGCCTACACTACCACCTGGCTTTGCATGCAGAGAAGTGTCCTGCTGTTCTCGGGAGAGATGGGACTAGCTTAGGAGGAAGCGTGTTCCTCATCGCAGGAATTTCCCTGTGTATGCTTCTGCGCTGAGAGGGAATCACTTTTTAGGGATATTGTTTCTGTTCTGTTTGGTAAAATAAGCGATTGTGCTGAAGGAAAAAGCCAAAAAAGAAAAAAAAAGAAAAGACTGTAGTTGGTATTTTACAAACTAAGGAAATTGTTTAGTAGGAAAATAGATGTAAGAAGTTCTGTAGAGGTGACCAAGCATGGTGAAGACTTGCAGTTTTCTCCTCTATCCTCCTCCTAAGACAAAAGCCAGGGCAGGAGCTCTGTGGATAGGCAGGGTAGGAGCCGAGTAAAGCCCCGATCCCATCGACCTTGGTCAGAGTCCTCCTGCCTGTCCCAGGCGTGCGCCGCTCACGGGGCCGAGGGCAGCTGCTGTCTTCCCACCTCGGAAGCGACTGGACCATTTTGCTGTCAGGCAGGTAAGAAACATCAGTAATAAAGCAGCCTTCAGCAGGGCAAGTGCTTGTATCTGGGACCAGCTCCGCATTGATGCTCTGAATATTCTCTAGTCTGGGAGCTGGAGCTCTGTTCTCCTTGGATTTGGGCTGGCACCGCAGTTGTGCAGTGTCCCAGGCTGGTTGAGCTCACCCAGCTCTGGAGGAGCCCGGCTTGTCCTGCTTCCAGCGGGACGTTCCCATGGATTGCTTCACGCCCCAATAGGACACAGTGTTCAGGGCTGCCAGCTTAACTGGAATGGGCCTGCCTGGCCCAGCTGCCATTTCTGAGGGCACTGTAGATTTTTCCATACCCAAGTAAGAGTTATTGCCACCTTAAGCATGATGCTGCAAGGAGAACTTGGAGGCCTTCAGAACAAATACATAAAAGGAGGGAGAGATAGAGAGAGAGAGATTCCCCTGCAAAGTTCCAGAGTTCAGGTCAGTTCTGCTCCTGCAGGTGACTGCTGTTAATAGCTGCAGCAATTAGATTTGGAGTTACTGGTCATACTTAGCAAAATAGCGGCAGGTTAGGGCTGCCCCTAACTATTTAATCCTTTCTTGTCAGGGTTGCTTCATGAAGCAGATTTTATTGTTCTTTAAAGATCCATCTGTGAAGTGTAAGATCAACAATCGTAAAGGTGGTCACTGTTTTGGTGCTAAGAGCATTTGTTTTTCTCCATTTAATAATGTGACAATATCGAGCACAAGTTACCTTAAAGATTCATGAATGCTACTTCAGTTTAAAAGCAAATAGAGCCCTCTCTGCTGGCGTGTACTTGTGCTGATATATTTGGTTCCTGCTTGCAGTGTTCCTGTTCCTCGCTTCTTTCCTAGTGCAGCAAATAGATTCCTTCTTTTTCTAAGTGCCTCCGGGAAGATTTCCAGAAGTGCTTAAGGCCCCTCCGAGTGTCCAAGGAGTCCAGGTGCTCCCGGCAGCTTTTGGAAAACTCTCCCGTTGCATCTCCAGGCTGGAGAAGTGTCCTTAAGTGTCTGTCCAGAACTGATGGAGAGGGCAACCCCTTTCTGTTGTTTAGTTAGCTGAAAGCTTCTAATTTTATAGTAGCGGAAGGTAGATATATGGAATATTGACCGGGCCCAATCCTGGGGAGGAGCTGCTCCCCCAGGCCAAGCAAGGGCAGGGGGAGCTCCCTGAGCCCCACACGTTGCCGAAAATCGGGCTTGGGAATAGGGACGGGGCCTTGGGCTGGGCCGGGAGCCCCCCATGCCCTGTGGGGACTGGTTTGCTGACACTCCAAAAAAGCCTCTCTCCTTCGTCTGCTTCAAGAGGATTTTATTTTTTAGGGGAGCAACTTCCCTTGGAATGCTAAATTAATTTAAATATATACAGATCTGCATTTATTTTTCTCCCTTTTATTTCATGGTCATCTCTTATTCAGGTACAGGGTCAAAGCTTGTGTTCTTCTAGATATACTCGTGTTACCTATGGTTATTTCCAAAGCCCTGCAGCTGTGTTGTTTCTTTTCTGTATTAAAGTATAAATTATTTGTGGCTTGGTTGGCTCTTAAAATTATTTGAGGTGGGGATGAGGAGAATGGAGGAGGAGGGGGATTGCTAGGAGGATGGTGGAGGAAGAGCTTTGCAGCAGGTTTGGCCAGTGGGCTTTTCCTTCCAGCTTCAGTGTTGGATGTGGCCAAGGGCTGAGAGTTTGGGAGCAACGTGCTGATCCCAGTGGGGGTGAAGTGGAATTCCTGAGGGTGGAGAGGAGCTGCCAAAACCATGAAGTGGAGTTTTGGCTTGGCACAAAGGCCTTGGAAAGGGAAATGTCTCCCTGCTTACTCTCCCTTTCAAAAATGTAAACATGAAAGGATCAAGAGTGACACTTACGTCGTGCTAGAAACGCTGGACTCTTCCTGGGGCTGCTTTAGGAAATGGAGTCTGAGACCTGTTAGCAAAACTGTGTTTACTGAAGAGTTTTATTTACACAACACAATACAAAGATTGTTCCATAAAAAGGAGGCTCCCCCAGTATCACACAAAACATCTGCCAAATCTTACAGTGCAATGTAGTAACAGCTTGTGAATAGTCATAGAACACTTTTTTCCAACTCACATGTTAAGGCAGAGTTGGGGCACAGTGATAAGAAACACTTAAGTGCAGGTTGGTGCTGGGCCTGATACAGAGGTCGAGATGAAGGGGCAGCGTAACGAGGGGTCAGATCCACGGGAAGCTTAGCTTGGAAGTGCTCCTGGAAAACCCCGTTGGAACCAAAAAAGAGAAAGCAAGAAAACAAGTGTTTGCAGCTCAAAAGGAGCTAAAAGATATTTTGACCTTGGTTTAGCAGATAATTAAAATTATACACACACCCCTGCAGCTAATGGAAGTGTTTGGCTAATGTGGAGGCCTCGAGGAACCTGACTCTGTTAGCAGTGAAGCCGGGATCCTGGGAGCAGGACACGGCCCCTGGCAGTGACCAACGCGGGGACAGAGGAAACGGGCTGGGAACAGCGAGAGGAGAGCTGCCCCTAGGGCAGCTGGCCG